CCCCCCCCCCCCCTCTCTCTCTCTCTCTCTCACACACACACACACACACACACACACACACACACACACACACAAAATCAGTTTTATCAACTTTTATGTCTGTCAGTCTTTCTTCTGTTGTTTGTCCTCCCACTGATTTTTTCTAAGTTTTATTTTGTGTGCCCAACTGAGCACACTTAAGTAGTGCCAAACAGTCGGTGGTTCCTCGTTTGGAGTGCCTACTGCACTCTTATGGGCGCTGCTCGGTTCGGGATGTCTGTGTTGCCTGTCGATGATGACGGATGTTCGTCGGAGTGACTCCCTGGCTTAGTGGGTGGTGGAACCAACAGTCTGCGGGGTTCAATCTTGATGTGAGTAGGTCATGTGCTGCTTTGCTCAGTGTTGGGTGTGTGGACGTCCTCGTCTGCGCTCCGCCGCTGCCCTGCTGCCTGTCCCGCTTGCTTTGCATGTGGTTCTTTGCAGGTTGATGTGTTCGCTGGTGGTGTGGCCGTGTTGTTGGTGTTGCCTTGTGCTTCACTGCTCCACTGTCGTGCTGCTCATCCGCTGGCCGTGCCTTCCGTGTTTGCCGCTTGTGTGCCCTGTAGGTTGGTTGCCTTGTCGCTGGTGCCTTGTGCTCCGCTCCACGGTCGCCGACCTGCTCGTCCGCTCGCCCTGTCATCCCCTGCAGCGCTGTTGCCTTGCTTGTGTTGTCTTGTGCTTCACTTCATGGTTTCCGCGCAGCATGCCCTGTGTGCCATGTCATTCCTTGCAGTCGTTTTTGGCGTTGTGCAGCCGTGTTGCCTCTACTGTGTTGCCTGGTGCTCCACAGGGTTGCTGCCCGCTGCTATGTTCCGCTTGGGGACAGTCTGCCTTCAACAAGGGTCAAAGGGTTCGTGACCCAAACCATCAAATACAGAGATTCCGCAGATTGTCGAGGGTTCAGCCTCCTGATGAGTCGGTGCAACTCCGACGCAACAATCTTGTTATCACCAGTTTTTTATTTTTTTCAGTTCTTGTCTTTTGATCTACTGTTGTTGCTTTTGCCGACTTGTGTTGTCCATCTCCCTGCTCGCCTCACCCTTGCCCTCAAGCCTATGTCTATGTCTTCCATCGGTACTAGTTTCTCAGCTCACTGTCTTTCCCTCGTCCTATCGTGTTTTTGTGCTCGGCCGCCTCCCCCGTGCCCCCCAGCCTGTGTTTTGTTGTTGCTTGTCGTTTATGTGCTTCCTATGTCTCCTCAGTGTGCATTACCTCCTGTTTGTTCTTCCCTACCCCCTCCCCATATGCTAGTCCGTTTGGCTTCAACAGTAGGGCATTCAGCTTCTCTTTGTTTGCGTGTTTTGGTCATGCCATATGAAGTGGACAATTTATTTCCTGGCATGCTTCTTGATGTGCTTTTTTTGCGCAGCTCGCCACGTCTCTTCACGCAGGGGTTTCTTATCAAATTACACAAAAAAGAACTGTATATTTCCATGTTCTAGCAGTAGATTCATTCGATTTTGCTCGTCCTATCGATGGAAGTACCCTCTCTCTCTCTCTCTCTCTCTCTCTCTCTCTCTCTCTCTCTCTCTCTCTCTCACACACACACACACACACACACATGTGCGCGCCCGCACATAGTGTATATTTCGATGTTCTGGCGGAAGATTCGATCGATTTTGCTCATCCTATCAATGGGAGTAGCGTGAGGCCAGCCGCAGGGTTGGAGACTTACCTGTTGGCCGGTGCGACACAACCAATCGATGGAAGTCTCTCTCTCTCTCTCTCTCTCTCTCTCTCTCTCTCTCTCTCTCTCTCTCTCTCTACAATGAAAGGACGCCGCCCCGCCCGTGGTAGTCAATTCCTGCCATGCCACTTCCCGCTTCGGCCCGCCCGTCACGTCACTTCAGCCCCACTTCGGGCCCCGCCTATCTCAATCCTTGACATCCCGACAAATCCCGCTCCACGCGAGCAGAAGACTACCCGGTTCGTCTCCGGCCGGACCGACTCCTCTTCTGCCTGCGCGCACCGGAATTTTTCCACCCCTCGCCCCGGGTTCCACCGGTTCCCCCTTACCCGCTGCCCGTCACCGGTCCCCCGCGGCGCCCCTCGGTTTCTGTTGGGACCCACGCGAGGACCGCTGTTTCCTTTGGTAGTATAGGGATATTACACATAATTGCTGCATTCCTGGGTGATCACTGCCTTAGGCAGGAAGATCGCACTTAGACACTAGCCAATCCAGATCACTCAGCAAGCTAACCCGGCTTTGAATAGGGTTCTTCTAACTTCTGAGCCCTTCCCATAGGAAAGAGCTTGAGCCCTTTGCGTAGGAAAGACAGCTTGCTTCCTACTGACTGGAACATAAAGCTGGTTGCGATCATCTGCAGTTTGTTTGAAGGTTGGCAATGCGTATGCATTGTGGATAGCAGCACCACTTACCAAGAGGGGCGGAGGACGGTGTGGGTGCTACTGGTTCGTCTATAGCTGTACACACTGTACAAATCTACGGGTCTATCGGGTCTATTTAGTTCTGTTTTGTGCGTTTTGTTCGTGCTCGAAAAATTCTGTTGTGAAAGTACCCTACAGTCAGTACTCTCTTAAAATTGCAGATGTTTTTCCCTCAAAAGAACTCCCAACTTACCTCTAGCATGCTTTTCCAATCCATATAACCTAGGCATATTCATTAAATTGCGTTTATACCTTTCTATGGATTGGAAAAGCATGCTAGAGGTAAGTTGGGAGTTCTTTTGAGGGAAAAACATCTGTAGTTTTAAGAGAGTACTGACTGTAGAACACTTTCACAACAGAATCTTTCGAGCACAAACAAAACGCACAAAACAGAAGTAAAAAGACTCGATAGACCCGTAGATTTGTACAGTGTGTACAGCTATAGAGGAACCAGTAACACCTACACCATCCTCCGCCCCTCTTGGTAAGTGGTGCTGTAAGGTTATATGGATTGGAAAAGCATGCTAGAGGTAAGTTGGGAGTTCTTTTGAGGGAAAAACATCTGCAATTTTAAGAGAGTAATGACTGTAGGGCACTTTCACAACAGAATCTTTCGAGCACAAATAAAACGCACAAAACAGAACTAAATAGACAGGACCATTCCACTAAGACACTGACCAGCCCAGAACACTCCGCAAGAAAACCTGGCTTTCCACAGGGTTATTCTAACTTTTGAGCCCTCTCCGTAGGAAAGAGGTCCAGCCATTTGCTTAGGAAAGAAGGCTTGCTTCCTACTGACTGGAACATAGAGCTGACAACTGAATCCAATCATCTGCAGTTTGTTTGCAGGTTGGCAATGGGTATTCATTTGCAAGATGTGTGGATGATGGTGTGGGTGCTACTAGTTCTGCTATAGCTGCACACAATGAATTAATCTCTGGGACTATCGAGTCTCGTTAGTCGTTCTGTTTTGTGCATGTCGTTCATTCTCGGTTTTGGGGGCTAGAATGCCCACCGCAGCTGCAACAATTTCATCAGGGACCACACTGTTCTTTGGGACAACATATCTGTATGTATCGCTGGACCCCCTTTCCCCCACCCGGTGTATTGCTCTACTCTTGTGCAATGAACATTCCCCTCAAACACACCAAGTTACACACACATGCGCAGCAGAACATTCACACGAGAGTTCACACTTGCAACCGAGAGATGGAGCCAGAACGCGCACAAGAACCCACATCGAATTATGATAGTATACAATGAAATTGTTTGTGACCTCCAGCTGCACTTGCTGCATCACCACCCAAGTACGAATCAGGTATGCAACCGCTCACCCTTCTCCCTCATGCATAACTCTCTCCCTTCTCTGTCCTTCTCTCTTCTCTTGTATCACACAGACCTCACTGGTCTCTCTCTCTCTCTCTCTCGCTCTCTCTCTCTCTCTCTCTGTATCTCTCTCTCTCTATATATATATATATATCGTCAAATAGAACTGCCCGGTAAACCGTAGGCAGAGAGGGAGAAGAGGACAACAAACGAGGGGCTGTGACAAACTGTTTCGTCGGAGTTTCACCGACTCATATATATATATATATTGTCACATCACTACAAACTAAAAGAGCGCACTTTGCGGAACAAAGAATAAAAGCAAAAAACGGGCACAGTGATAACATGCAAAAATAAAAATAAAAATAAAAACAAAAAGAAAAAACAAGGGCAGATTG